AGGCACCTCGAGGCAGATAAAGTGTAACATTTCAATTGCACTGAGCTTCTAGATGATTTCAAAGTGATTTTCATGGTTTTCTCTACTGACCAGGTCCCAAACCTCATTGCTGCTGAATTGGGAAGTGACCACAGCCACTGAAGTACTTAAGGAACTCACTTCTTTCTAATCCTTGCCAGTCTTCTCTTTTAGCAAAGATTGTTTCACAGAATTTATTTTTTTCTATCTATTCATTCCTTCAGCTCTTCAAGGTTAATAATTTGTCTCATCCTCCAATGACCAAGTCAATATTTGACACAACTGATTAGTCTACATGTTTATAACTGCTTTGAAATTTGGTCCATGATGCAAAGCAATACAATAATCCTGAAATACTGATGATGATCCAGAGGAACTAGGCCAACTGGAGTCACAAGCCAGACAGGAAAATCTTTTTAACACAACTTCTCTCCAATCACAGAATTCTCTGTCATATTCTTTCAGAAGCCCCGTGGAAGAGGAGGTTATGGGTTGTAAGTGCAAGTCAAGGTGGCTGATGGGGGAGGCACTTAATGAGTTCAACATTATGGACTTCCCATGGTGCTGTTGCTTTTCGTTCTGTTTTTTACTCACCGGTTCAATATTAGTAACTATTTTACCCAGTTTAACTTGTTCTTTCACAATTAGAACTAGACTCCTTGCATTTTTTTTAACATTAAAAATGTGTGGCTCCTTGAAAGAAGTTTGTTATGGAGACTCCTCAGTATGTCCACTTTTGGATGGTCTTTGGGAAACAAATCATTTTGTGTGCTGCCTGAAGTTCTGTTCTTGGACCACATCACGTGTTTCCTTTTTTTTACCCCCCCAAATTTCCAAAGGTATGAATCTGCCAGATTTGGGGTTTTGATGTTTATTTCTAAAAACATTTATAGAAGTATCTTGAACTTTATTCTCATTGATTTTCTTATATTGTTGGGCGATGAGAGTTTTTGTTTCTTGAAAAAAATCTTGCTTGGGAATCTCTATTATAGGACATTCTACTTTATCAGGTACAGCCTTTGCAACTATGGTGGGCATTTAGGGTGATCTCTTTTGGAGGCTGGGCTCCAAGTCCCTCCCAAGAACTGGAAATCTGCACTTCACTAGAAACATGTTGGGATCCAGGGCTTCTTGAAGGAGTTGCCTGAATGGCAAGAGGCATTTGGAGTCTTCTGAATTCCTTTACATTTCAGTCTTCCTGCCCTCAGGGTCTCGACAACTGCCAATCTTCAGTTTTTAATTGGTGTATTTAGACCATTTACATTCAATATAATTACTGATACGTTGGGGCTTAAGTTTGCTTCTTTGTATCATGTTTATTGTGTTATCTCTGTTTTTTGTTTCTGTTTCTTTTTTCCTATCTTTCTGTGGGTTAATGAAATCTATTCTAGAATCCCATTTTGATTTATCAATAGTATTTTTCAGAGTAACTCTTTCTATATGTTTTTTAGTGCTTGCTCTAGGTATTGAGTTTTTTATATATATATGTAACTTAGTATAGTTTACTGGTATTGGCATTTTTGCCAATTCTAGTAAAGTATAGAAACCTTAACTCTATTTATGTTCTTTTACTCTCCCTCATTATAATATACTTGTCTTAAATATTTTATCTATGTACTTTGTTAGTGTTATAATTTTTGCTTGAATCATCAATCATAATTTAGAAAACTCAAGAGAATAGCCCACATTTCTGCTTGCAGTGTTTTTTTTTTTTTCTAATGTTCAGCACGTTCCTTCTTTTACTGTTTCCATTCCGTTAAGAAAACTTCCCCTAGCTATACTTTTAGTGTAGGTATGTTGGTGACCAGTTCCCTCAGTTCTCCTTCATCTAAGAGATTACTCCTTTATTTCAGATGGATATTTTCACTGGATATAGGATTCAGGGGTGACATTTCTTTTCTTTCAGCACCTGAGTAATATTTTGACAATTCCTTCTAGCCTCTATGGTATGTGATAAGAGATCCGATTTCATTTAACTTGAATTTATTTTCCTTTTGTGGTGTTTCTCTCTGGTTGCTTTCACAATTTTTACTTTGTCTTTAGTTTTCAGAAGGTTAATTATGGTATATCTTAGTGTGATTATCCATGAGATTGTCCTATTTTGGTGTTTACTAAACATTTTTAATCTGTAGGTTTATATCTCTTGTCAAGTTTCAGCCATTATTTGAGTACTTTTTCAGCTTCGCCTTTTTTCTCCTCTGTTTTCAGAACTATAAAAACACAAATGTTAAATCATTTATTATGGTCCAACAGCTCCCTCCCAATTCTATTTTCTTTAATTTGTTCAGATTTCAGATTGAGTAATTTCTATTGTTACATACTCTAGTTCAATGATTCTTTCCTCTGCCCCTCCATCCAGCCATTAAGCCCTTCTACTGAGTATTTTGTTTGTTGTCTTCTTCAGTTCTAAAATTTCCATTTTGTTTCTTTGAAATTTTTGTCTTTATTAAAACTTTCTATTTCTTTGCTATTTTCCATTTTTATTTGGTTCAAGCATGCTAATAATTGCTTATCAAACCATTTTTATTGTGACTGATACGAAATCTTTGTCAGATAATTCTAACATCTCTGTTACCTTGATGTTGGCATGCATTGATTATCTTTTTTAAGTCAGTTTAAGAACTTTCTGGTTTCTGATATGATTGATTTTGTTACTGAAATGTGGAAATGTGACTGAAATTTTTAAATAAGACTCTGATTTAATAATTTAAGTTATAAGACTATGGATCTTCTTAACTTTGTTGTAAGACTCTGGATCTTATTTTAAACTTCTTGCTTAGCTGGATTTCTCTGTCATTGACACAGTGTCTGCCTCTGTACTGCTAGGTGAAGACAGAAGTCCAGGTTCCCTAGTCAGTCTTCATTGCCACATGAAACAGGAGGAACCTCATTACTGCTAGATGGGTATGGGAGTTCCAGTCTCGCATGTCTCTCCATGAACCCCACAGTGTGAGTGGCCTCATTACTGCTGGGTAATAGTGAGAGTACTGACTCTCCACTAGGCTTCCTTTTATTCTCCCCAGGGAGGAATGGAAGTAGTGCCTCATTACTGTTGGCTTAGGTGAAGTCTAGGCTCACCATGTGGTCTCCAGAACACTGGGATGGAGCTGGTCTCACTACCACTGTTGAAGGTCATGGAAGACCCAGGTCCCTACTTGAACTTCTCTGACATGACCCTGGTGGGGGTGTGGGGAATACCTTATTACAGACTAGTTTCCTCACTCAGCCTTTGCTGGCATCGGTAGGGTGAGACCACAGTTTTTTCTGTGTTGTTTGACCAGAGTAGAACAGTTACTGCCAGAGAGTTTTTCCTTTTGCTGTCTGACTTATTCCTGGTCTTCTGGCTTTAGAGAGTAGGCTTTGGGGTGGGGTGGGGGGGCTTTTCTGGTCTGCACCTGTTGGTGTTTCTAGGTTGTCAACTTCTTCAGCTCTAAGTCGTGAATATAAGGGTAAAAGAAGAAAACCCAAGGAATTCACTTACCACATTGTGTCCTAGGTCAGCTGGTTAGCTTTCTTCTCTCTACTTTGCAGAGTCTTCTTATATATTTTTTTATATATGATGCCTAGATTTTTTTAGTTGTATTTAGTTGGAGGAATAGGGAAAAGTATATCCATTCTATTTTCCTGGAAGGGAAAATCTTAAGGCTTAAAAAAATTCACTGTTTTAGGACTTATGTTTTCCCTATTCAATGAAAACCAAATTTGATATCATATTTCACTCTAGAAACAGAAATCTTCTCACTCCTTTCTATTCCCAGGGGTTTAAAAATAAATTCTTTAGCCTTTTTCCGTTCCTCAAACTGATATTTCCCTATTCTGACTTTAATAAATGCTTTCATCAAGTGGCAGTTGATCAGATGGTTTGTGTGACCTGATAGGGTGGCACAGAACCTCTTTTCAAACTGACAGAATATTCAAAGCCTTTACTCTTTTCACCAGTAAAGCTGCTTTGTAAATGCCAGACTCTTTTAAAATTGTGTTGCTTGCAAGTGCATGTATTATTCATTTGACTGAGGTATCCCACACTGTCAAGGGGGAACATTGCAAGAAATCTATCCCTAGCTTCCCTTTGATGCTGTGAGAAGATTCAGAATGAGTGGACTGGAAGGTGATTGTATTTTTCCTTTACCTTCTGGTTAAACTGACAATATCTGCCTCATGCTTCATTTTAGCATATGACATGTCACCCAGGAGGAAGACCCTGAGAGCTTGAGTCACCTCCAGAAAGAAAAAACTCATTGTGTGATCCAAAGGTGATGGAGGAGATACTGATGCTGACAAATGGCCGCACACACATTTCTTTAGCTCTGCACATGGTGCTTTCTGAATGGGACAGCATGCATCTTATTCCTTAAAGTACTGACAGCAGCAGAAGCTGAAAGGCATCTAGATACGTTCTTCCCAGTACACAATTCACAAGGCTAGATCTTAAATGAGATAGAATTATACACAGATAAGACTAAAAAGACTTTAAAGGTCACTGAAGGGAAGGCTCCCTTCCCCTTTGGCTAACGTACAAGTGAGAGACCAGACAGCTTCAGTGACTTGTCCAAGCTAACTAGTGGCAAAACTGCAACATGCTTTGACAGCTGACTTTCATCCAGTCTCCTTTTATATATACCAGAGGGTCATCAATAATGACTTTTTAAATGCTGGTTGATTATTCTGCATTAGAGCAGAAAATTATCAATCTACCACAGAAGGACAATCTATGTGAACTTTGAGAACTGGTTCCCTTAAGAGTCAGGATTCTGATGACTAAGTTGTTCAGAAACACCAAGGGGCAGCAAGAAATAGGCTGTGATTCATTCAGTGGGTAGCACTACTTCTTGTGACAGTCTACTCCCAAGTCTTCTGTATGGTCAGCTGAAAAGTGAGCCAAACCTGGGTCCCTCTGAGGTCTGCACAAATCACAGAGTACAGCACAAGTTGACTCGTCTTCCAGAGTAGGTCCTAGCTGGGCAATAGTTCTAGGACTGCTTTCTGATTCCATTTTAAAGAATGACCTCTAGTTGACCTATATTCTCCCGAAAGCTTAAATTGGATCTGGTTTCCAACTTCCTTTGCTATCTTAAACCACACAGCTCTGTGCACAGCTGTTTAACAAGTTGTAGATTCTGTACAGGGTAATGAGTACTAGCAGTTCACACAATAGCTGCTTATATACTTAAATGTAACCTACTTATATATGAAGGTTTCAGTGTGAGTTTATACAACCTAGATATATTTTATGAAATGTATTTGATATTAAAAGCCATTTCAGTTTTTCTGTTATTATCTGTTCTCAGAAAAAAAATAAAGAGGAACATGAAATAGTCAGGTGAAAGCAAGAGATCAAATATTATTTTAATATTCATATTTTCTGCACCTCAAATCAGGGCACACATTAAGAAAATGTAGTAATAAGTAAAACCTGAACTCTCAAAAGATACAGATTTTAGGATTTTCAAAGATTTCAGGAAACTAAGTTCTCATAACAAGATCTATTAATTTCTCAAAATCCTTAATTGTGGGACTGACCAGAATTATCCTCCTATCTTTCACCTTGATTACTTTTTGAATCTTTTCTAGTAGACCTTAGTTTTCTCAGACATCTGATAATTATTCAAGTCTAATAAAAAGCAATAAATATAGATAAACAACAATGTCCTCCTGTGTAGCACAAGGAACTATACTCAATATCCTGTAATAAACTAGAATGGAAAAGAAAATGAAGAATATATATGTATATAACTGAATTGCTTTGCTATACATCAGAAACTAACAAAACATTGTAAATCAACTATACTTCAATAAGAAACAAAGCAATAAATAAATATTGATTAATGCAAAAAAGGAGGAGCTTATCCAGTAAGTAACAAAGAGCCAGTGAGGGATTTTAATAAAAGGATATTGTGAGACGTCTCTCCACAGGTTGCTCTCACTTCTGTACAATTTCTGAGCAAAGCTATTGCTAGCTTTTATTCCGAAGTATCTTTTCAAGAGTGTTTGTATGGTAAACAGCCTTGGAAGATGGAGAAAGTATCTCTTTCCAGATC